GATTACCATTACATATTATTGAACTTGATCAAACACCTGTAGTACCATATACAGTGTCCTCCTTTGTTATGAACGTTGCTCAACGGGTTTCTTTTTATGTGAATTTAAATGAATTTGATCAAACATATGTGCCAACTGATTTGCCATCGACAAAATCAATTTATATTCGATTCAAAGCTAATCCAGAAATGTATCCAGTTGATATTAGCAGCTATATTGCTCCATATGCAACTCAATGCCTTCCATATCCGATATTTTTCAACCCGTTATACCTAGCTATATTATCATTTGATTCAAGTGATTCGTTGCCTACATATCCAGTCAATCAAGCAACTTCAGAATCAAGTAATCAAGATTCAGAAGACCAACACGATGTCAATATCTTATGTGCTAGACCATTCAATCCAGCCAGCAATGTAGTTCCCAATGCAACGCATTATCTAAAACTTGTTATCACATTTCGTCCGGATTCGCATAACATCACTCGTGGATATCTTAACAATGTCACATATAGCTCTGATGCGATAAATGTTAGAAATAAAGCAATTTCTATGAATGCTATGAAATCAGACAAAATGTTACCGCTACTCTATCAGATGGTAGCAAACTCTGCCTCACTTGGTATTCCGTCTCCAATCATCACAAACGACAATCCATTACCAGTCATACAAAGTGACGGAAGTGGACATTATCTAGTTCCATATCAAGCCGTTGTCGACATACTTTTGGAGAACACAGATGAGGGTGAACATCCATTTCATCTTCATGGTCATAGCTTTTGGATTATATCAACTTCGGATAATCCCCAAGCCGAACAATTGTATAGAGGAGCATACATACAACGAGATGTGGTGAGCGTTCCAGCGTCAGGTTGGGCCAAGATACGATTTTTAGCAAATAATCCGGGTGCTTGGCTTTTTCATTGTCATATTGAGTGGCACATGAGTGCAGGACTCATTCTAGCCTTTCTAGTTGGTCCCAATGAATTATTAGCACAAGACTATATGATTGCGGCCAATCAAAAGCTCTTTTGTCAAAAATACTACTGACTTGAGTCGTTAAAACTGATACAAGTGGTAATTATATGAATCGTCTTTTCACTCATTGACTTGGACCCGATGGGAAAACAACGTACTTCAAGACTTCAGAAACTTTCTTGAGGCTTCAAAGCTGAAGTTTCTGTTGTTTCTTCCTCGTTCAAATCTCTTTCTGAATTATTTTAATCAAAATCATGTACTCAAACTCCTAGCTATCCTTTTTTTCCAGTTATTTTTGACTTTTAGAAACCCAAATTCAGTATAACAATTATCAGAATCTTTCGAAGAAGCTTTTCAACTTCTTGCTATAATTCGATAATTTCGGTTCTCATTTCTCACTTTTTTTTCTTCTCGCCTATTTTCATTAATAAAACAAAATAACTTTAATCAAAATTCGGTTGTTCCAAACACCTGCCCAAGCGTTTGTATGGGTGTCTTACAGTTATCACAATACCTGATATTTCAATGGTGCTGAAATCTTATCAAGTAGTACAATGTATTAGTATAAATGAGATATTGGGGACTGCACCATATGTATGTTTGCGGTACAAATGAGTTTTTACTAGAAGATAAAAATATGTTGACTATGATAGATGAAAACAAAAGAGACGGATTGGAAAATGAAATTTGTTTTCAACTTTTGGTGCATCTTCAAATAACTTGACTGTCTATTGATGAACTTGCGAATAAGAAGAGATAGGCAGTGAAATACAGATGTCATTTGCGATCGATGCATACCTTGCTTCTGTTTATCATTATCGAATAAAATTCGAAGATGAATTTGTGGTCATTTGTTTATAAGAAAATCATTTGCGACCAGTGGTAGAGTGTCAGATAGAGATATCATATACCATACTGCTCAGACTAGTGAATTTATATCGAAGTATTCGCCGATGACGTGGTTGAATTCTTTTTCACACTCAGATATGACAGATTTTGTTTCGACTTTGATAGTTCTGAAAAATTTTTTAATAGCATTTGTGAATGCTTTGTCCATTATCTCTTTAGTATTATATGAAGTCCACTGTATCATTAAACTTGACTTCGTGCAAACTTATTAGTATGTGGAATCCAAAATCTTTACTTTGTCATTAGGCCAAAATCATTAATAAATGTTTCATGAACTTTTATGATAAAGTCCTCTCAAAACTTTGTTGTTTTTAATCGATTTTTCAATGGAGTACCGTTCGTAACAACAGATAATGTGATTCGAACAAAATTGAACTACTCGAAAGCAAGTTTCTCATAGCCATCCGGATTTATTTGGAATGGAACATTCAGTTACATTTGATAGCAGATGTAATGGATTTTCTCCGTGGTCTGATTGATGGTAAATACTTGTGACAAGAGCACTATTGTTATGACAGAATATAACATTCATAAAATATTGTACAAGTTCCAATACAACTAATGTCATCAATATTTTGAGAGAGTCATACATTAGCAATATCAAGTAATGTACAAAGTTTATTGTCATAATCTATTCTATGTTATAAACACTTCATCTCGATAGCTATATAAGTGGACAGATGTTGTCCATTCTGTATACATGAGAGATTTGTTTGAAAAAAACAAAGAAATATCTGTCAAACAATTCATTTTTATTAACAAGTATTCAGGAAATCTTGTTGTCAATAAAATAGATATCAAGGGCATATACTAGTAGCACAGTCACTGGAAAATCAGAAGTATTACCTTAAATCTGTTGATGTAATTTGTTACGCTACATAAAAAATTGATTTTCCAGAAGAAGATGACCAAGTTGGATAATAGTATCAATAGTCATAGCGTGCATGACATAATCTGATATGTAATCATTATGAAAATATTTCAAGACTTCGATAATTTGTTAATGAAAAAAAATTCTTTTAAATAGCTCATTAACATTAAATATTGGAAATAAAGTTGCTAAATGAAGATAAGTTCTTTATTGATGGAATTCAATAGTATTTCTGACATCGTCATCCTTAGAGAATAGTCTACATTGAGTAATCTCATCAAAGAATGGTCCAATGAGACGATTGACATAATATACTATATTCATTATTGATCCATCATTGCAAATCATGATTGAACAAACTGATATTATTTTCCAATCTTTTATAATAATACGATGACATGATAGTTGTGCCTGAAATAGATAAACCTACCGACATTTGGGCATCAATAGATAACCAACGTAAAAACTTATAATTTTTAGAAACTTAATTAAACAACACTAAAATTTAATAGAGCTGTCTCCCTTCAAATTCTCTTGTCTTGTAAATAGAAGAAAATGACTATACTAAGTATTGTAGCTGTTCGCCTATTTGTTCGTATAAGATACGTCTACCAAATTTTATACCGCCAACCTTCGTTTTTCGAGCAAAAATTAAACTAGCATATTATTCTGTTTGAAGATTTATCACAGGTTCATACATAGATGGACTTTTACAAACAGAATTCTGAACGAAAAGAAGATGTATAAATAACGGAACATTTATTGATAAAAATAAAAGCTTACCTGAAAAGCATAATGCCAAACCTCTTGAGCATTATGTGTACATGTCACGTTTTGATCGAGACAACTAAAACAATATCAGAATGATACTATAAACTGAGACAAATGACGTTGCTTATTACCATCTCTACGACCAATGTAATTGTCTTCAAAATAATCAATGAAGTCTATAGGTTTAATGCGAAGAATATTACTATGTTTGTTGCAATACATTTTTGATATGATCCGTTCATTTAATCTGGTACTTCTTTTTGAAAGCTTTATAATTCTTCAACAATGAATGCTTCTAATGCAAATGTTAAACAAGCTGAATTTTTCAGTTGATTGCTAAATCATTGTGCTTGTGTTGAGGTTTGAACAGCCTAGATGACATTCGTTCACACATTCACAGTGACATATACCACTAATATAGTTATTAGCCCTAAGCTGACTTCAAAGAGTATGGTTGCTTATGAACAAATAGTTTAAAGAAAAGTAGTACTTTAGTACACATTCTGCATTTTGTCTGAGTGTTTCGAAAGGTGCCTTTAGGTCTTTTTGTGTAGAGAAATATGTTTTCAGACTTAGAATAAATACTTCATAGAACAAACCTCGACTTGTATATGGGAAGATAGTTTTTTTAATTATGCATGGGCTGCTTTGTGATAAAAACATTTCTGAATTTTCAGTAGGAAGTATCAATAAGAAGAGATTTTTTAATTAATACACAAGAAGGTATTATCGAATGTGTTCCTATTTTAGAGAGACTTCATCCATAATCCATAAGAGTGCGCACTGTGTCAAGCAGATCCTACGACTCTGAAATCAGTTTTTCGTATCAGGCACCTAAAGAACTTCTTCTTAAATAATGTTGCAAAAGAGCTCAGCACTAAAGTAACTCCACAATATGTTTTTAATAAAGAAACGAATTTTTCACTGGACTGTTCTTTCCTGTTAGTTGACTTTTAAAACTTTTTTAACGCGATTCTCATACGTCACTATGACGTCTGAATCAAAGTACTATTCTTACTGCACGTAGATATAATTATGGACATATATAATAAAAAAAAATCAATGAGCCGAAGAAATTATTTTTGAAAAAATCGATTCTCAGAGGGGGTCTTCTAAAATGTCTTCTGCGACGTGTATATGATAGATGGAAAAAGTCTTCTAATGAGTTGAAGACTTTACATTATTTATCATAATAATGTTCTTGTGGTGTATTTCTTTTTAAAATTTCTAAAATTTTATGTGAATAACCGTACAAAGCATATACAATGAATCTTATTGAATGTAATAAAATAAAATTTATTGGCCGTTGTAAAAGATACGAAAAGAATCCTTTTTTTGACGGCGTGCATCTTTTTATATGCAAAGTTTTACTATCTTATATATCATAACAAATATTGACACTACTTAATGCTTCTTTTGATAAAGCATGTAGCATTGTATACTCATGGTGGTTCACAGTTTTGTATGACAAAATGTTACTAATAACATGCTATCTTCTACTTTCGACTGTTTTTGTAATAGCAGTTGATTCATCATCGTTTGTTAAAGTGAAAAATGGTCGTTTGTATTTGGACAATCATGACTATTTCTTTGTAGGCACCAATTTTTGGTATGGTGCTAATTTGGCATCAGTTGGCACTGGAGGCAACCGCATGCGTTTAATACGTGAACTCGATCATTTACATGCATTAGGTGTGAACAATCTGCGTGTACAAGCAGGTAGTGAAGGACCCGACACAGAGCCGTGGCGTATCATTCCTTCCATGCAGCCTTCTCCCGGAATATACAATGCTGATGTGCTCGATGGGCTCGATTTTCTTTTGTATGAAATGAGTAAACGTCAGATGCGAGCTGTCATGTGCTTGAATAATTTCTGGCATTGGTCAGGCGGCTTTGCTCAATATGTAGTATGGGCTAATGGAATGGCAACAGCAATACCCTATCCGGGTAGTTACGAACAATTCGAAATCTTTTCAGCACAATTCTACGGACTAACAAAAGCCACGGAACTGTTTGACAATCATATTCGATTCTTATTATCGCGTACAAATCGATACACAAATGTCGCCTATACAAATGATACAACTATTGTAAGTCAAATGAAAAAGCAATTTACCAAAAGCATCTGAGTTTAAATATTTTTGTCGGTGCCTATCAGTGATTCGTTGAGGAGTAGAAAATTATAACAATTTTTTAAAATTCTATCTCAAGCAAGCAGTATCAATTATGTTAGACAATAAAGTCTTGCATGGTTGGCTTTGGTAGCGTTAAAACTGATTAGAAAATATCGCCACCGAACCGAATCCTGCAAGACTCTATTGGACAAATATATCACTTGTATTCTTGAAGAATGTTCTCCAGAAACCGATGATAAAGATGAAGTTTCTTTTTACACATGAGTATCGTACTGTTCAGAAGAGAGTTGGTAAGCGAGGGTGAGAGCATATGTCGTGAGTGTCCAACTACTTCGGTTCTCTCCCATCAATCTAAACACTCACTTACTCAGAAAAAAGACATTGTTGTGCATAAAAAATATTAATAATTTATCAAAATATGATAGATTTTTGTCTTATTTTTACTTTAA